CGGGATCCCTGCCCTGCCCTGCGACTCGCAGGCCCGGGGGCTCGCGCTCCTCTCACCCTCTGCTCCTCTTCCCCAGCCCTGGCGGGGGCTCCGGGGTGCCGGGGAGCCCCGGGGCCTGCCGCCTCTGCCTCCCCTCACCTGTGGTAGTTCTTGTCTTGCAGGCGCGGCGGGGTGCGTAGCAACGTTGCTGCACGACGCGGCCATGAACCCTGCGGAAGGTAATGGCCACCCTGTCCCCTCTGCCGGGGAGGCGGTGCTGGGGCCAGGGGAAGGGGACGCCTCTGTCTGCAGGCTCGGGGCCGCGCTCCCGCGGACTCCCCCTTGCCTGGGCACCGTCCCATAGGAGCCTGCAGGGAGCGGTGCCTGCTGCCTGGAGCCCGGGTCAGCGATGCCCAGCGCGGCAGGCAGGTTAGCCAGGTAGAGCCCCGCCCGCTTGGGGAGCAGAGCCAGCCCGGGTCAGCTGCGGGGAGCCTGCTCCTCCTCCCCCGGGTGTTTGCTGCTGCGCGGCGCGAGGAGCAGCAGAGGCAGCGACAGGCAGGGGCTCCCCTTGGGCGGCACTGGAAGGTGGGAGGCGTCGGTGCCCAGGCTGCCCTGTGCTGCCCGGTCCCGCAGTCGGCAAGGCCCAGCTTGCGGCGGCGCAGGCGCAGGCACGGGGCCGGTCACGTGAGAGAGGAGGAGCTCGGCAGCGACGGGTGGGATCGCTGCTACGGGGAGCGCGCCAGGGAGGCGGCCGGCCGGGGGGAGCTCAGCTGGGGTAGCAGAGGGACTCACAGCAGGGACGCAGAGACCTTGCGGGCTTCCAGGTGGAGCCCGAGCAGCGGGCAGAGCGCGCTTCGCCCCATGGGGAAGCGTCAGCCCTGCGGGGCTGAGCACTGCGTTTGGGGCCAGGTGCTGGTGCCCTGCGGTAGTGCCAGGGTCATGCCCCTGTGCAGCACCAGCCCGGCTTGGCTCCTGTCTGGTTGGGCCCAGGGCGTCTGGTCACCACTGCGGGGGGTGGTTCGTAATGGCAGCAGGCCTGGGGGCTCTGGCCCTCTTCCGGCACTCACTCTCTCTCTCTTTCTCCTCTGCCGTGCCTGGGCTGCCGGTGCCGCTGCCTCCCCGCTCGCTGCTGCCTGCCCCCCAAGTGGTCAAGCAGAGGATGCAGATGTACAACTCACCCTTCCAGCGGGTGACGGACTGTGTACGGACTATCTGGCGCAACGAGGGGGCCGGGGCCTTCTACCGCAGCTACACCACGCAGCTCACCATGAACATCCCCTTCCAAGCCATCCACTTCATGACTTACGAGATCCTGCAGGAGCAGCTCAACCCGCGCCGACAGTACAACCCCGGCTCCCATGTGATCTCGGGCGCCTGCGCGGGGGCCGTGGCTGCCACCGCCACCACACCCTTGGACGTTTGCAAAACGCTGCTCAACACCCAGGAGCCCTTGGCCTTGAACTCCAACATCAAAAGACACATCACAGGCATGGCCAATGCCTTCAGGACGGTGTACCAAGTGGGCGGTGTGACCGCCTACTTCCGAGGGGTACAGGCCAGGGTCATTTACCAGATGCCTTCCACAGCCATCGCCTGGTCCGTGTATGAGTTCTTCAAGTACATCCTCACCAAGCGCCAGGAGGAGCGCCGGGCTAGGAAGTGAGCTGCAGCTGCACCCTGCTTCCAGCCTGCTTAGTCTCCCCTCCCCATCTCCGCCCTGCCCAGGCTCTCCCTTTGGTTAGGCACGTGCTGGAGACGGGGAGGCAGCGATGCCGGTTCTTGCCTGTGTCTGCGACTCTACCTAGCCTGCCCCCTCCCCGCAGCTCTGGAGTGCTGTGATGTTGGGAGCCGCCGCCGAGGTCACGTCCCAGAGGAGCTGTGCTCCACCTCTGCCCCTGCCAGAAGCCTCTTTCATGTACATGCAAGATGGTGACCAATGCCGTGAGCCAGCCCTGGTGGGTCCGCACTCAGCTCGGGGCACTGAGGAAGGGGCAGCGGTGTGTCTTAGAGTGCCCAGGGGCTGCCGTCTGGCTCTGGGCTGGAGGGGAGCATAAGCTTAGCCGCTGTCTGCTCGCACGCACAAAGGATGTCTGCCCGTCTGCCTGCCGGGGAGGGGCAGCCTCTGGGAGGGGAGTTTGTCGGCTCGTGGAAGTTCCTGCTTCTGGCACCTCCAATAAAGAATTCTGCTCTAGCCCTGTGCCCTGTCTGCCGTGACGGCCCTGCTCCCAGCACCAGCCTGGGGGCCACTGCACAGCCTGCAGCAAGCAGACGGGGTCTGTCCCCATCCAGGCTCCTGTCTTCCTTGCTGCTCAGTCCCCGTCTCACCGTGTGCTTCAACTTCGCCTCTCAGGTGCTTCCCTGGCAAGGCGGAAGGGGGAGAATGTGCCAGGACAGGGTAGCAGGACAGGCCGAGCTAATGCTGAGCCCGTGTCACGTGCCTTCAGAGCTGCTGTGTGCCTGATGCCTTCCCAGAGTGCCCGGGCTGTGGAAAGCCTGCAAGGGGTGACTAGCCACGGGCCAGGGCTTGGATCCCCAGCATAGGGCTAATGCTCCACCTCGCCCAAGCCTGGCCATCTCCCTGAATGGGCCTGCTGGGCTTGGCCTGGGGGCTGGCAGGAGCCTGGGCTAGGCTTGAGGGCAGCTATGCAGAGTGTTAGTGCTGTACAGGTCGGGTGCGAGTGTCTGGTCCTTTCTGGCTGGGCAGGAGCCAGGGCTGATTTGGGTGCGGACTGGTCCCTGCTGCACGCGGGGCCTCGATGCGCCAGACCCGACCCTGATCCACCCTGAGAGGGGCTGCTGGGAAGGTGACCATTCACTGGCATTGCCCTGTCCCAGGGTGAGATGCTTCCTCCTCCCTGTTCCTGAGCGCAGGTAGTTTCCTGTGCTCTGCCCAGCACCGGGGCCAGGCCTCCCTGGCTGATGCAACAGAAGAGCCGGAGCCCGCACAACCCTGAGGTGGGAAGAGTCTCCCTTCTCCATTGTTTGCCCCCCCCCGGCTTGCTTCCCAAACCTCTTCCCTCCCTTTCCCCTTCCCCACCGTGCAGGTCCCCAAGGTGAGATCTCGGCCCTGCGGGGGTCTGGCTCTGAAATGTCCGTGGCTCTGCAGAACAGATAGCAGCTGGGGCCTGCTCCACGGCTGCCGGTAGCTCCTAGTCTAAACTGCCCGGAGAGACCAGAGGTCCCCCAGGGCAACTTCCCCCTCCAGGCCATCAGCAGGGACTGCCTACAGAGGCACCTGCAGCGAAGGTGGGGGGCGGGCAGGGCAGGGCCGGCAGAGGGGCTGGGAGGCAGCAGCTGGGCCCTGCAGGGGGGAAGGGGAAGTGGGAGCAGAGGATGTGGCCGGCTGTGGGAGGGGCAGGAGCTGGAGCTGGCTGAACAGCTGCATCGTGCGCCTGGAGGCCGGGTCGTGGGGGCTTTGGGATGAAGGTGGGGCCCTGCCGCCCTCCCAGGGGGTCATAACATCAGAGCTGCCGTTTCCTGGGTCAGACCTGAGCTCTGTTCACCCTGTGTCATGCGAGCATGGAGCGGAGGCTGAAGGGAGAGCGACAGCGTTGTGATGCGGAGGATGTGGCCCTGGCTCCCTGCTCCATAGCTCCCGATGGCCCTTTCCTCCAAGCTCGTGTCCAGCCCCTTGTGAGTGGCTAAGCTCTCGGCTCCTGCCCTGTGCGGTGGCCGCGAGCTCCATGCCCTAATGATGCTGGGGGAAGAGGAACTCCCTTGTGCTAGCATTAAACTTACTACCCGATAGTTTCATTTGTGGCCCCTGGTTCTTGTGCACTGAGAGGTGGTAAATAACTCTCCAGGGCCTTTCTCTTCACATTTTAATGTGTTGTAAACCCTTCTCCTGTTCCCCCTCAAGTGTCTCTCTTCTAAACCGGCCAGGCCTGGTCCTGTCAGTCTCTCCTCTCTGTAGTATTCATCATCCTTGTCCTCTGGACCTTCTCCAGCTCTTCTCCAGACGAACGCTGGTGCTTCGGAGAAGGGTTGAGCTTTTATTTCCCTCTGCCAGTGCCGTGGTCCCCAAGCCCTCGGCCCTGCAGTCTGACCCCCAAATGCCCCATGCTCAGGTTCAGGGCTTGCTTCCTTATGGCTGTGGCAGGTCTGGGAGGGGAGATGGGGCAGGGCAGACAGGCTCTGGCCACAAAGGCTGGGTGGGATCTGAGCTGAGACCCCGGAGCACTGGGACCCCAGGCAGGGAGAGTAGCAGGGCCTGGAGCGTGCGCTGGGCTGGGACAGCCTGGACGGACGTGCCTTCAGACCTGGGCTCTGTGCAAGAAGGGGCTGGAGAGCATCTGCATAGCAGCAACCGCGTGGCTCTGACACAATTGTGGGCTTGGGCCTTGGTCCAAAACCCCTTGACTGGGAGATGCAGATGCTTGGTCTGTGTGAGCTCAGAGGCACAGGCTCCTCCAAGCATTGGTCTCTGGTGCCTTTGACTCAGCACCCTGCACTTTGCAACCTTCCCATGACCCTCTTCATCCTGCCTAGCATGGCGGGAGGCTGCCAGGCTGCTCTGCCCTGCGGGGTCGGACCCACAAGCCATCTGCACCAGGCGGGTGCTTCCGGGGGAGGTGCTCTGAGCACCCAGGCCCCTGCGTCTGATGGCTGGGCCGATCCCCAGAGAAGCTTCCTGCAGAGCCGGCAGTGAGAGGCTGGTCCCTGGGTGCGGATAGTGAGTCGGAGAGGACGGAGGTGTTCCCAGATCATCAGGCCTCTCCTGAGCAGTGGTCGCCAGGCTCCTTTGCCTATGGGGAGGGACCAGGAGCCGTGCAGCTGAGGGCTAGGGCTTTGCTGGGGATGGGAGGAGTTGTGTGCCCCTGTGTTGTCTGTCTGCCCTGGGAGCTCTGTCCATCTGCTCTGGCCCCGGGGAGCAGGTTTGAGGCTTCCTAATGGTCCTTGGGCTTGGATGTAGCAGCAGAGGATTCCCCCAACAATCCTGCCTTGGCTCAGCGATGCTGGCAGTGCCCCCTGGCCAAGTCCCTGCAGCAGGATGGGCTCCAGAGCCAGGGTGGCTTGCCTGTGCAGGGAGGAGAGGGGTGTTGTGTAACCCCCAGCACTGGGGGCTGCAGGCAGAGGGGCCCTTTTCTGCCCTGCGTGGGCCCTGTCTGGTTGCAGCACCATCCATGCACACAGCTCATGGGACACGGGGATCAGAGGCACCCGGTGCTGGGACCTGCCACACCCCTGGGAGCAGCCCCGGCGCTGGGCTGGCAAGGGGGCTGCTGGCCCCCCGCCTTGGTGACACACAAGGCCCTGTAATTCCAGCTCCCAGAAATACAGTGCCATGGCTGCCTTCCCTCCACGGAGCAGCGGTGAGCTATGTCTCCTGTTGTTCCTCACCATCTCTCCAGGTCAGACTGGCCCAAAGAGACCCCTTGCCGCTCATCCTCCTGCCCAGGTCATTAGTCAACACTGTTAATAAGGCTCCAGCCTCCCCAGACCTCGGGCAAGGCCCCCACGCTGCACCTCTGGCCTCCATGGAAGCTGACGGATTGCTGCTGCTTCCTGCCTGCCTGATGGGTTTCTGGGCATGGTGGTGCCCAGCCCCTCCACACCCAGTCTTGGCTCTTCAGCAGGCCCCCGGCGTGGGTCTGAGGATGTTCGTGGCTTTACAAAGCTTGGAAGTGCTCGACTCAGCCCCACGACTCTGCTGCAGGCAGGGGCTGGCTGCCTGGTCCAGAACACCCAAAGGCATGGCCTCTGCCTGGGCTCTGCCATGCTCTGGGGAAGGAGCTGTTTGCAGTGGGGTTGAGCTGAGCCCTGCCTTTGCGAGGCCCCTTCAGACCCTGTGGCCAAACCAGCTGGGCCTGGGGCCTCACAGCTTTCCAATGGATTTTGTTGCTCCAGGACCTCTTCTTCTGCCTCCTCCATGTCCTGTCTCCATTGCAGGTGCCTGCGACTCCCGCCATTAGCAGTGCCGGTCTCTCGCTGGCTGTCTCAGCGCGTCCATCCGCACGCTGCCTTCACCGAATGCTGGGGCTGGTTCGAGGCGTCGTTCTCAGCGCCCAGGCCCCACTGGCACTGGCCCAAGCTATTCAGGGAGGCCGGCTGTCCACAGTGCCAGGAACATGCTGGCCGGAGGCAGCTCCCAGCTGCATTCCTCGGGGAGCATGAAGCTCTCGGATTCCCGGATGCAGCGGGTGGGGGCAGGGCGTAGCTGTCCTGGCATCACCCAGGGACTGAGCCCTTTGCCTGGCAGGAGGAGTGGAGGGTGGCAGCTCCCAGTGCTTGCACAGCCCCCTTCAGGGTGGGTGCAAGATGGGGCCAGAGCCTAGTGCAGCAAGCCAGGGTCTCACCAGCCCCGCAGGGCTCTCCAGGCACAGGCCCTGTCTTGGGCAAGGGTCTGAGGCCCCATGATGCTGACTGGGCAACAGAGAGATGCCCTCCTGGCTGTGCTGGCCCTAGCCCATCCCTGCTGCAGCTGGAGAGGAGCTGGTGATACCACCTGGGAAATGGGCTGCGTTCCTGGTGTGCATCACTTGCACAGCGCCAAGCCAGGTCTGACCACCCCCCCCCAGCCAGGCACCAGGCACCAGGCACACTCTTTGGGAAGCAGCCACCAAGGGCTTATGTTTGATGAGGCCAAGCTCACTGCAGCACAGCTGGTCTGTCCCGGCACTGCCCTTGCTGCTGGGTTAGCCAGCTTCCTCCTGGGGCTGAAGCCAGCCTCAGGAGAACACGGCAGATGGTGAAGGATGGCACCCAGCCTCTCACCTGTGAGCTATGGCACAGGGTGTTCCCTTAGGCCTGCAGCCACCAGGGCCTCAGTCTGAACAGCACAGGTGCCTGCCCCTCCCTGCTGCCCGAGGGCTGGAGAAAGCGGGCCAGTGCCCGAAGCAGGTGGTTCCTAACACATGAGCAGCCACTGCCCCCATGTGAGACCTGTCTGGGCAGCAGGACTGGGCCCTGGTGATTAGCAGAACACAGCTGGGTTGGGAGCAGGCAGTCTGCCCAGCTCTGGGAGCCACGGGACAACGCTCCAGTCCAGCACCCCCATCGGGCCTGTTTGAAAGCAACCTGCCCCCTCAGCAAGGCCACCGGCTGCAGAGGGCACTGGGTCCAGGGGCTATCTCACCGGCTGCAGAGTGACCTGAGCCTGGTATGTAAGGCCAGGCCCCTCCCGCAGCAGCCGGCTCTGCTCTTGCTCTCCTGGTTCTGGGGTCTTGACTCCTGACTTGTGGCGCTGCCTGG